GTAAATATGTAACCAAATTAAAACGTTCAAAACGTAAAAAAATGTGCATGGTTGAACATTGTCAGAAAGTAGATTCTTGAATAGGTTTTGCCAAAATGGGTTCAAAAATGTCAATAGTTAATTAAAAAATACAGTAGCTTTATAATTACTTATAACTTACCGAATTTGATGAACGACATCTTTTATTGGAAAGATGAGCTTGATGAGTTTTGATCATCGCTACTGCCTGAAGCACCAACGTCAATAATGAATGGCTCGACTTGTTCCTCTAAAATATTGCCCAGTTCCCACATTCTCTTTTCAACTTTGTCTTTCACGTGCTTAATACAGTTTTCCCATTTTTGCGCTGTTATTAATTCTAGTGCTTCTTTGAAAAGTCCTTTGAGGTCACAAAATTTAAAAGTTGTATTGTGCTTAGCTATATAATTTTTAACCTCTGCCCATATGAGCTCAATGGGATTGAGCTCGCAATGGTATGGAGGTAAACGGAGTACAGTTTTATTTGACTTGCTGCCATTTCGTCAATGGCGTATTTTTGATATTCCGCCTTGTGATCCTTGACAATTCTTAATAATTGTACTTTCAGCATTGCTTCTTCAAAGTTGATATTTTTCGAGCGGAGCCAATTTTGAACATCAACTTTCCTTGAAGCCGTTGTTAGGACCTTCTCCATTCTTCGAGAATGATAAGGCGCATTATCCAACACAATTACTGCGTTTTCCTCTAAGTTCGGTAAAATTTTTGAAAACCACTGTTCAAACGATTCGCCATTCATTTCCTCGTGGTAATCTCCAGTTTTCTTAGACTCAAAGCACCACAGACCGTCAACATCAAATCCATCCTCACTGCCAATATGGCAGATAATGAGCCTTTTCCCTTTACCTGGAAATCGAAGTACTAACTGGTGTAGATTTATTTCAATAAGCGAACCTTTTTATCAGATTGCTATAATTGGGATTATTTAGTCATATTGAAAGAAAGAATATTGAACGTCGTATGATTACTCAGCGCTTCACAATTTAATTTAAAGTTATAAACCTTTAAAAAATGAATGATCAGGAACCTGAAATACGCGCAAATATTAATATTAACAAATTATAACTTTATAAAGCTTAAAGTATGAATTAAAATGATTAGAAATATTAGGAACGGTACACAATATAAAACTTAGTAACTTTTTTTAAGTTTATAATATTCGACATATTTTAAGATTATATTAAAAAATTATTGAAATATCGAAAACACATAAAAACATGGCTTAAAAAAGTTCTAACAAATGAAAATGACAATAAAACATCCACGCATTTTATCGAAAGTTATAAAAGTTTTGTTACTTGTAATATGTTTTATCTGCCCCCTGGAATTAATGTTTAGAACCTTGCTCCCAAGGTTTGAAAAACATCCGATTGTTGTCTATTACTCGTATTTACCTGCTGGATTTTTTAATCCGGTGGACAGTCCATCTAGAAAGGCCCTCCTGGATGAAGTTACAGAATCATCAACCCATACTTTACTTGTAGTGTGTCCTGCATTTACCCACGTTTCATCAAGGTAAATCTTCCTGTTTTGATTTCTATATTTCCCAATTTTTGTTAAATAATCCCTCCTCCATAGCACAATTTCTTCTCTATCCAGTAGTAAACTATTACGACCCCGTTTTTTCCATTTGAAATTTAAATGCTTCAGTAACGCATGGAAAGTTGATCGTTTGAAATTTGGCAACGTTGTATCTCCATTTACCTCCTGCAGTACTTTATCTATATGTAGTAGGTATTTCAGTCCTAAAGAAGAATTCATGCACTTTCCTCCTAATCGCATGCTTATCAGCTTCATCCAATGATTTAACAATACTTTTGCGATGTTTACTGGTCATTGGCTCAGAAAAGGTGTGATTTTTTTTTGTATTGTCTTAACACATTAAACACTGATGCGCGACACACCCCAACTTTGTGAGAAACCTTCACAACAATTTCTTTGATGGTTGATGCCTCGTTCTCCTCGCGCTCGATCTTATATATATTCAAAATGACCTCTTTCATTTCTGCACTCAGGTGTCTTTTTTTAGAGCGTTTCCTAGGTGGACTACAAGAGTTTACAACTTCATCGGCAGTATCTGTACTACTGGGCATTTTGCGCAAGCAGTTGATAACAATAACAATCAATAACAAGGTATAACAATAACAACGACAAACTCAACAACTTAATAAGATAACAAACGAAAACGTCCAAAGAAATATCAAATTGCAATGATGCACACGACATACGTAACACGTCTGAACCTGAATGTCACTCTGCCTCGATACGACTGCTCTGCTGCTCGGCATAGGCATTTAATTGCGAATTGACCAATGAGGGCTCCTGTTTTACGTCGAGACGGCGGCGTTAGCGTGAAAATCACCCGAACCTTTTGTTTACATCCGGTCTATCTCTTATCTGAATATACTGTAGGTACCCTATTTACGAGTCGAGCCATGGAATATAATTTTGTACTATTTACGCGCTCTTTTATTAGACTGCTGGAAACTTTCTCTCATCCTCAGTTCCACTGGGAAAATGTTTTGCGCCGAGCGCATTACTTGTACACTAAGCAGTTTTACGTGCACGGCAAGGTATTAAGCCATCACGTCACAACGGTTCCCATTATTGAATATTTTTCCAACTTTATTATAAGTAGGTCAGGTATGTTAGTCAGTAAGTCGTACTAGAACTGAACACAATTGCACTTTTCTTGATGTTGCCCTAAAATGATAACAGCATTGTGTGCATCTAATTATAATAGGACAATCGATCTATCGGATTTTTCGCGCAATATTGTATGCAGTTGATTGATTTACATGCAAGATCTGGCAGTTGGAAGAAAATGACAAAAAGAATCAGCTGGTTTGTTAGTGCGCATGCGTCTGATCAAGATTTCTTTTGCATATCTTGCTGACTGTGGAAATGGTATAAGAACAGATGCGGTTACACACAGCTTTAATCAACTGTTTTACAAAAATCTCTGAGAAAGCGTATTACGCTGAAATTGAGTTGGACACATACATTGCTATAAGCAGATTGGGTACCATGTGCATAGCTTAAATCTGATAAGGAAAATTGCAGATGCGCAAGACGATCCTTTACGCAGCTGTTACTCGCCTTTGCACGCATACGTGAACCGAGGAGCACTTCATTCACCTTTTTAAATCACTTTTAATAGATTTAACACACTTTGTCGAAATTGTATTTGTATCTTCACGAATTGCTAAGTTTTATACAGAAGACCAACAAAGGTAAACTTGAATCGCGCGCCCATGATAAGCAAGTTGTCATGCTGACAGTGACAGGCATAAATGTTGAAGACTCATAAATTGACGAGAATTTTCATTAGGATGAGACAAGATTTCTCCATGTTTGTCTGACCGCTAAATGAAACCACATATATTATGTTTGAAATATTGTTTACTGGTGGCCATCTAAAACTACGATATACATAAATGTGTGACCCACAAAAAACCATGAAGAGCATAAGCTCGTATGCTGTGCTGTCAGGTCATATCAGGTAATCGATCGACTTGGTAGCCGGAATGAACTTTACCGAACGCATCACAACATAGCGTAATTAATTGATTCAAAATATTCCTATGCCATATTACCAAATACAGGGTGTTGTAAGTTTCTACCCTACTGACATAGGCATATCCAACTCAAAACGGAAGTCGGGCAGCCTTTTTTTCATGAAATTTTCACCTAAGCATGATAACTTCGTTTTTCAGTTGTACAGATTCTTGTACAGTGGTATTATGAATGATAACTGAAAAACTTTTAAATCTATAACGAATTTTATTTGCTGCATACTTCATATTAATTAAGTAATTTCTCATATACTTGAATTTTTCCAAATTGTTGGAAGTATGCTCAAAAATTCAAGCAGTCCTTACTTCCTCGTGCAAAGGAGAAGGGCGCATTGAAATCGCCGAATACATTATATTATGTCTTATATTTCATTTATCACCAGTAGTAACTAACGTTTTCTACCTGTGAATATCCAACCTGGTAGAGATACCGTAGCATCATCTATGAGAATTTGACAGTGCTATATTTTTTCTCGCCGCAATAATTAATAATAACTTTTAAAATGCTAGTGTCTCATACATGGCGCTGTAGATAAAATATATACCTGCATGAGCATATACCTACCTTTTCAAATTAGATTTCTACTTATTGCGGAGAAGAGAAACACAGCTGTGACAAATTCTCATAGATGACGCAACAGTGTAGGTTGGCTATCTTCATGTAGAATACGTTAATAAATGATATAATTTAGGTACCAAAGACAATGGTTACATAAACTGGGATACCCCAGTTACAAATATTTGTTTTACTTGTACAGCCCAACGGAACTTATTTCAGTATTATTCAGCACTCAAGCGGTTATGGATACCGTTCGTTATTTTGGGAGGGATAAAAGTTTCATCGAATTCAAGTTTGATAATATAAAACTAAATGAAGCAATCAGTGACGACATGCCACGGCTAGTTTCGTTTTGCTTGGAAGAGGTTTCGGGTTCGTCGACTATAAATACCACTAGTACATGTTATTGGTAATTAAATTTTAATTTTGATTTCTGTAGCACTGCATATTTTTCCAGAAATCACAATACATGGCGGCTTGAATCCGTTCTCATGATGTCCGTCCGCTTTTTCACCTAGGTCAGTATTTTCATTAGGCTCTTCGAAAAGTAAATATTAACTAGTTGCGCCAGATATTTGCCAAGCGCGATCTCAGTGTATTTATAATCGTATCTGCGCATATCTGCCGCGTGGCTTTGTAGAGCTTCCTTTATGGCTTCAGGCATTGCGCTAAGCCTACTCTGAAATTTTCCGTTGCAAATTTGCAATATTTTTCATAACAGTACATTTCATTGAACCTCACCACTCACCAACATATCAAGGTCGCTGCCCTAACCACCGATTCATCAAAGGATGCCATTTAGTGTATAAAGGATACCGCTTTTTCCAAGATCACTTGAATTTTCCGATGTCTGGTATCAAAATACAAAACTTATATACCAGATAAAACAGTGTCATTAGCAACCGATATTGAAATTTTCCCAGGCTCAACTGCCCAATATAGAGGGTGCCCCAAAGTTCGCGCAATAATGAATATAATACAAGCTTTTTCTCCATCAGCATAAATTTGACTAAATTTTGGTCATGCAGCGTTGAATTTCCTTCTTTAGTCCACGAGTGTCTGTAGGTTTCTTTCTACTTAAAAATGGATTAATGTATTCTACATTAAGATAGCCAACCTGATTCGTTATTCGCGCGCCTGAAACATTATCGGAGATAGAATGAGATGCCGAAACGTCATATGTGAGAGAGGTTGTCTATCTACAGGTAGAATACGTTAATCAATGGCTTAGACAATATGGGTGTGGATAACACATGGCGCATCAAACAGACAGTGCCACATACCATAGATCTCGTGAAGAAGCCTGCATTACATATTTTCTTCGTCGTGGACTTCTTCATTTCGGTGAAGATAATTGACTACCCAGATCTGGTGTGGGTGTTTTCACTAAATTTGATTATATTGATATGGGCAATATATTATGCTTTACCGAAATTCATCCAGTTTACGTGAATTTCGGGACACCGTTTACTACTTAAGCCTGATTTTATTATATAATATATTCGCGATAGAGGATGTTTTGGCACTGATTGGATATGTGCGTTTGTACTTTTATAGTGGGCTGAATGATATTCTTAGATATTCACATAAGTTTTTTTTCCAAAACTGGGAGCCTGATATCATGCAAAACAGATTTGTATTTGAAATCCCTATTCAAAAAGTCAGATGTTTCAGAAAAGTTACTGGCGTAGAAAATACTTTTTGGCTTCTGTATCCATACCACGGATGAGCCACGAACATTTTGTATGTATTTGTTACGCTTTTGGTGTTATGTACACAAATTGTTAAGTCTATACATTCATCCTGGGGATACTGTATTTTCACAATTTTTTAAACCTGACTTCAACATCCTGGATACGTGTTGGTGCCTATTTGTATATATGTAATATAATAGTATAGAATGTTATTTAATTGTACAGATATTTAGGTTTTAATTGAATGTTTCGGTGACGAGAATTGACCACCCAGACCTGTTGGCTTTTTCCTGAATTATGTTATTTGATACGAATAATGTATGCCTCGCCGAAATTCATCCACCTTGTGTGAATTTCAGAACACCATTTACTACTCAAGCCTGCTTGTATTATATAAAACGTACTCTTGTTGAGATTAGCGATAGAGGGTGTTGTAAATTTCTACGCCACTGATAGCACTGATTGAACATGAGCTTTCGTGTTTTTATAGTGGACTGGCGTTTTTTTAGGATTCTGCCTCATAGGTAAACCAATTTTTCTCCAAAACTAGGAGCCTGACGTCGGTATTTCACAAAAGATTTAAATTTCGAAACCATTTTCAAAAAGTCAGTGGCGTAGAAAATACTAAACTTCTATGAAGGTCAAAATAACCCAGTGTCCACGGCTAGGCACGAAAAGTTTGTATGTATATTTTTGGTATTAGGTGTACAAAATTTTGAGTCCTTACATTCATCCGTACCGGAGATATTACATTTTATCGATTTTGTAAATATAACACTTCAACAATTTGGATACATTTTAGTATCTATTTGTATAATTATGTAATATAGTATAGCACTTTACTTGATTGTACAGACGTTTAGGTTTTAATTAATTACTGAATTTATCCAGTATGCATGTGCAAATTATATAAAGAAATTATTTAATATCTTCACATATCTGTAAGATATTAGGAAAACCAGCTTGTGATCCACACGATTTACTACTAGTACTTTACTCTATTTTCCCCGTTATCCCGAATATATTGTCATTGATTAATGTATGCTCTTCTCTCCGCAATAATTAGAAATCTATTTTGAAAGGGTTAGTGTCTCATAGATGGCGCGGTAGCTAAACTATGAGCATTTAGCTACAGCGCCATCTATGAGACACTAACCTTTTCAAACTAGTCTTCGAATGATTGCGGAGTGGAGAAACATGGCTGTGACAAATTCTCATAGATGATGCTACGAGCGAATGTAGTATTAGGTTGGAGATCTCCAGGTAGAATACGATAACCAATGATATTGTATTGTGTTGTTTCTGTCGTGACATATCGTAGAATTATTTCATGAAATTTTCATTTCATGAAATGGTTAAACGAGATTTGACCATGTCGTTAAATCGATTTGGTCGTCCACGATTGACAATACCGTAAAACTAGGGTGCCCATAAAATATTTAATAAAAATCTAGAATATGTTACACCTCTCATGGTCACCCTATTCTTTTTCATAGGGAGTGAACTCATATGGGAGGAAGAATAGAAGAGAAACAAGGCAATGTTTCCGGATTATAATCTGACAATCAAATTAAGATGGCGGATGATTGGCAAGATTATTATTATTATTATATTGGTTAGTCTAATCATATTAGACGAAAAGACCCCTAGTGTGCGAAATAATTGTAAAGTCTGCTTTCATTGATGCAACTTGTATAAGGATGTATTCAATACATGGACGCATATGTTTCTGGGGAAACTGTTTATTCGACAACAAAGAATAAAAAAATCCGTTTTTTTGGGATTCAATTGAAAGTGTTGGCAGGAACGAAAAAACTCTTAAATAAGATTTTTAGGTATTTATGAGACTTACAGAATGAGACCACCTAAAAATATACCACTAATAGTAAAAAAGTTTTGCTCTAAAATCGGGGCAAAATGCAGGTTTTGGCACATGTTGCTAATGCGACGATAATTTCACGCAGCTACTTGTAATTCTTCATATCCGTAGGCTTCATACTTCTAAATAACAAAATTGGAGTCGATTGGTCAAGTAGTTTTTGAGAATTTCTAATTGTTTATCCCAAAACACTGGTCTTCCGGCTATTAGTACTAAGTTTACTGAGCAATATGCAGGATTCGTTCAAAGGACCTTTTATAGCAAAATACAGGAATTTAGCTTGACGACGTAAATTACAAACCATTCCGAAAGATAATTGTTATTTTTATGCAAAAAAGGAAGGGTTACGTTTTTTCTTCTAAATAAATTCAAACATGTCGCATATGTTAGTAACTGAGCATCTTCGCTACGAATTTGAAAAACATACGTTATTATACACATTGTGGCTATTACCTTTTGTTATGAAGAAAACATTTTTTTCCCTATTTCTTTATACTCTTGTGTATACATATTTAGAGCTGACATTTTTACACGGTCATAGATGAGCCTTAAGGTTTATAAAAAAATATTCCTGTTTGAAAAGTTAGCTCGAACACTGAAGACACAATTATGTTTCAAACTGTAACTGATAGTATGTAACATGTGCTAAATGGCTGCATTATTGATGACTGCATGACTTTGTCAAATAAATAGGTCACGTAATCCAGTTTCTTTATGAAGAAATATAATTCACTAAACTTTTTGTGTAAAAGTATTAATATGGCATACGTCTGTTTCCGAAATCTCGTTCGACTAAAAGGACCGCGAGTTCAAAATGTTGAAACATACTCGAGTAAACGAAAAAAAACAGTAGGCAAATATCAACCAAATGTAGCGAACTGACTGTCTTAAAAATTAGGCAAGATGCTCATTATTAGTCCCCAATACATTATTTAAAGATTCAGCATTGTATCTTGTATGGTTTTCGTTTTCAACAGTACTGTAATTGCTTATAATAGATTTGACATGTCTCCAACGTTCGCTTGACATTTGTCAGAGTCAAGTATAGTATAAGGATCCATTATGGAGATTCGGTTTGTTGTAGTTATTTAGAAGTATGAAGCCTACGGATTTGAAGAATTTGAAGTAGCTGCGTGAAATTATCGTCGCATTAGCAACAAGTGCCAAATCCTGCATTTAGCATTGGTTTTCGGCCATACATTTTTTAGTTTTAGTCGGATCTTTCCACGTGTGGTCTCATTCTGTAAGTCTCACAATATCTAAAAATCTTATTTGAAGAGTTTTTTCGTTCCTGCCAGCACTGTAAATTGAATTCCTAAAAACACATTTTCTTATTCTTTGTTGTCGAATAAAAAGTTTTCCCACAAAAATTGATATACCCATTTTATGAGTCCTTGTTTTAAATACCCCCTTGAATAACTTTCATCAATGAAACCCGACTTTACAATTATTTCGGGGAAATTTGCTAATATGATTAGACTAGGTGTCATTTTTCATTTCAGTTCCGTCTAAAATCGAAGTCACCTAACCCCTCTTTTCTAAATATGTCAGGTAGGTATAGAAATATTTAAAATTTCATTTTGGTCTATTTTATATTGAATTTCGCCTTTATAACGTACATCAGAGGTATAATATAATGGCTTTTGCGAATTTATACATGATTCAACAGTCGCATGTGTGGAACGCAAAGAAAAATTCAGCATTCAGACTAAAGACACGTGTTGAAAGGTTATCGAACTGTGATCAGACTTCTCCGTGGAGGTACTTTCTTAGCGAATTTGGATTTGGAATAGGCACAGATTTTGGTACCCATCAGGGAGAGTCTTAGAATATATAGTCGAAATCACGAAAGATGACGATTACGTCATCATTTTAGTCTGTAGTAAAAACAAACGACAGCGATTTATGTATATTTTTAATGAAGTTTCAGATATGCTAGACAGAGACAAACAGAATTTTATTGTCTAAACAAACTGTATTCTTAATATGCATGTATGCGACAAAGATGACGATGTTTTCATGTTGCATGATCGATCATATTTGAAAGATGGATAGTTAGGTTATGTTAAAGCAGGTTGGGTTGTTTTCGAATAATACTTTGGTCTTTGGTGTTTCTGTCTTACGGTATTCTAATCATAACTGTTTTTTTCGAAACTCCGCACTAAGATTATCATTACTCAAAACCATGAAATAAAATGAAAATAAAAATAATCAGTGTAATAACCTAACTTCGCAAAGTCATAATATAAATTTGTTGTCATCATTCCTGACATCGTG